TGATCTGTACAGGTTCGCCTCCAAGCTCAGATTTCTGTCTAGCTATGAAAATGTTGCCTTGCAATGTGAGGCCCCGCTGAAGTGTCCCTCTGTTAGAAATACAAGTCCTATAAGGAATTAGAGGGTGTGTGTGTGTGTGTGTGTGTGTGTGTGTGTGTGTGTGTGTGTGTGTGTGTGTGTGTGTGTGTACTATTTTCCTTCAGTCAGGGAAATCATAAATATAGAATGACACCCTGACTAATAACAGAAAATGACAGTTGCAGGAGGATGCTCCTGCTCTCTGATCCTTTCTTTTCCTACATAGTGTGCTTGAATATGTATTTTTCATCTTTTGGAAGTAGTGAAAATATGATAAAGATATCCAGATATCACCAACGTCCAAACTTTTCCTCTCTGTCCAGGAAGTTGCTGACGGACTGTTGCGATCCGAAGCGCATGTTTGCCGTGACGAAGGAGAACTCACCAATGGGGAAGGTCATGTGGTACGACGGCGAGTTTTACCACTCGCACACTGTCAACAACGAGACATATGCAGTATTTGCTCAGGTATTCACACAATTATTTGGAATTGTTCAATCGTGTAGGGTCTGTAAGATGTAAAAGCTTTTAATGCTATGGGTTTCTGGTGTTTCATACTTTTCGACCTCAGAAAGCCACAGATTTCCTTGCAGTTCCCACCACAAGACTCATGACAGACACATTAGTAACCAAAGGAAGAAGATGTAAAAGAATTTCCTCTCCACTCAGTGAAACATGAGGAGGTTTTCCTTGGTGATCCAGTATGTAAGAGGCAGTGGAGTAGACATTGTCATGTAATGGCATGTAAAAGATTACTGCTAAGGTCTCAGTACAAGATGTCTGTGAACTCCAAGGTTCCCATATCTTTTTCTCAACAACACAAACCGGTTCAGAGACAAGGTAGATGTCCAAATCAGTTCAATTGTGTTGGAAAGAGTGGGTGGAATTTTTCTTTGGCTGTAAAAGAACTGCACAGCTCTGAAGACTGACCCCAGGGAGGGGGTTCTCAAACATCTCCATACCTTAATATCAGCTCATCTCTCACTGAGACGATATTGCAGCAGTTTACTCCCCATTAGTGGATGGCGGTCTGCTCCACAACCTCCTCCATTTGGGTTGAGCTGGGGTCAGGGGAAGAGAAAAATGGAAAAGTGGTTCTGTTGGCATCATCACGCCGTGAGCATCAGAGTTCCATCCCTCACCCATGGTCATGACATTGTGAAAGATGTTGTGTGATCCCGGAAACAAGATCATGTTTCCGTACAGGTTTGATTGGATTTAGATATAAGATGAAGAGCTTTGATTTTTCAGCGTGAGCTCGGGGTAGAGCTGCTGCACCTCATGGAAAGGAGTCCTGTGAAGTGGTACAGGCATCTGATTAGAATGTCTCCTGGTTGTCTCCCTTTGGACATTTTCCAAACACTGGAAGAAGACCTCAGAGCTGACTCAGACCTTGCAAAAAAGATGAAATATCCTATCTGGACTAGAAAGGCCTTAGATAGGTGGGGAGGGTCTGTGCCTTCCTCCAGAGCCGGTTGCTTTCAACCCAACATTGGATATGCAGTGGAGGTGTATGTATGTATGGATGGATGGATGGATGTATGTATAGATGTATGTATGTATGGATGGATGGATGGATGGATGTATGTATAGATGTATGTATGTATGGATGGATGGATGGATGGATGTATAGATGTATGTATGTATGGATGGATGGATGGATGGATGGATGGATGGATGGATGGATGGATGGATGATGGACGGATGGATGTCACTTCAAAAACAAAACACCCATTTTCCTTCTTGTTTTCGCTTTCTTCATGCCCCATACTCCTTTCAGTTTTACAAAAATGTGACTCAGATTAACGAACTGTACTTACAAACAAATTAGCGCAGCTTTCAAGTGTTTTTTACACATTTGCATTTATTCTTTTGTTTGAAACCAAACTGGAATGTCCTGTTTCGTTTAAACCTCTAGAAAGGCACATGTGGGTACAGACCCAAGGAGGATGTACCGTTATGTCCTTTACCTTCCCACGCTGGAAATAAAAACGGGCCTTGACATTTGTGTTTATGCTTCCTTTGTGTATCTGTACTCAGACCAGGTTTATTTTCTACTCGTGTGTGCTGCTGCCACATCTGGAGGAGGGCGTTTGTGCCCTGAAACAAGACCAGTTGAACTAACGAATGGGTGAACTCTAAAATCGCAGAGACTGATCCAGTTTCTGAGGCCGCATATCTGCAGTTTAATATTCTGGTTGGTGACTGATGAATATCTGACCCTAATTTGAAGGAGGAAGCTGTGCTTGTTCAGTCATGCAGGATAGAGGAGGTGAGGGTGAATAAATAAGCACAAGAGAAATTGTGTGTGTGTGTGTGTGTGTGTGTGTGTGTGTGTGTGTGTGTGAGAGATTTTAATCATTAAAAAATCATTCAACTGAGGATTGATTTGTAACATTTTCATTGAGTTGTTAAGTATTTCTCCCATAATGTTTGGGCATTATATCTGATATTTTAAGACAAATAAATGGGGCAATGGTGACACAGAAGTTAAGGGCTTGCCCCGTAATGTCAGAGGGTTGCAGGTTCAAAAGCCCCTCTGAATCCGTCGTTGTGTCCTTGGGCAAGACACCCAACCCACCTCTGCATTGCTCCAGTTTATCATCTCAGCTGATTCTGTTAACAAAAATGAAACTTACTGCCACTATCTTGTGGCTTTTTAGGTTTAATTTGTGTCATTCCAAATGGTTTTTATCAGTCGCTGCATTATTGTTTACTTTGGATAGAGCTGTTACCTTTCACCTGTTCTCTTATTCTGTTAGTTTTTAATATGAATTTTATTCTTGGTTATTTATGCTATGTGTTTATGTATTTTACCCGAGTTCCATGTTTTTACTTAGTTTTGCTGATATGCTCGAGCATTTGGCTGTTTTCTGTACAGCACTTTGGTTAGCAGCTGTGCTATTTTTAAATTGTGCTTTATAAAGAAATTGGTATGGTATGGTATGGTATGGTATGGTATGGTATGGTATGGTATGGTTACTTTCATTTTCAACATAGTTGCCATCCGGAGCTCGGCAGTAACTCCCCACATGATTCATACGTCTGGCATTGCAGTGGTGTTACAACCAAGCTTGGCGGTATGGATGCTACAAAATTCCTGCATTGGCATGTTGCCATGGCGGCAGTATTATGCTGCTTTGCGGCACGGTCTGTCTTCTAAAAAGAGCTTTTACGAAAGACTTATCAGGCCCAACCTCATCCATCTCTCCTTTGTTCTAACTGCTTCATGGGGAATTGGTGTCTATCTCCAGCTGTCATTGGGCTGGAGGTGGGAGGACACACTTGACAGGTTGCTAATCCATCACAGGGACACACAGAGACAAACAACTATTCATGACCACACTCACACCTAAGGACAATTTAAAGAGGCCAATCAATCGACAGTCATGTTTTTGGACTGTTGGACGAAGCCTGGGTACCTAGAGAGAACCCAAGTGTGCACATGGAGAACATGCAAACTCCTCGCAGAAAGACTCCAGGCTGGGATTTGAACCCAGGACCTTCTTGCTGCATGGTAACAGCGCCAGCCAATGCACCACATTGTAGCCCCATAAATAATAATGAAAAATATTTTTGTTAAAGCTTTATTTTTTCAGTTGTAAATATGCAGACCTACTGCTTTTAAGGGACCATGTTCTCTTATCAACATTTTTTGTTTTGGCCTGTCCAGCCAGGTTCTGTTCAGTGTGTCCTGACCAACATGTAAAAGTTGTATGTGTTTCTTTCATTTTGACTGAAGCATGTGTTTCTTTGTGCTGAATTTGCATCTAACCCTTGCATGTACACTTTTAGTTGTGGTTCTGCATTTCCGCTGTTGGCCTATAATATGAAGTGTGTTTCTCAGAGTCGAGGTAATTGGTAGTTACAGTGCACTGGTGATGTTTGATACCCGGCCTTCTGAACTACCACTTCTGTGATTGCTGGTCTGCGCACAGACAACCCGCCATGCTGCACCGGCTGAGCTGGCAGCAGCCACAGAATCAGAGCATCTGCCAGGGAATGTGCCAATTAGGGCCTTGACAGTTAATTGCTGGTTAGTGTGATGGCTCAAACAGAGCTTGCATACATATAGTTTAGTGAACTGAGCAGCAGATTCTCAATGTTTGCTGATCACATTTTGGACCTGTAACAGTCGAACAGTGACGAGATTTAAACTTTCAAATGGGAAATCTACAGTTTTGAGTCAAATAACCAGTCTTAAAAAAAGGTACCTTTTCCTATCTGGTCAAACTTTCAGGCTCTATTCTGTTGTCATGGTATCATGGTATTGTCCTCTGACTCAATGTGTGTGTGTGCGTGTGTGTGTGTGTGTGTGTGCACACGCACATGCGCATGCTCACTCCAAGGGGAGAATAATGAGCACAATTGTTTCCACCGTCTCGCTTAATCCAGGCCTCGGGCTCAGAGGCAAAGAGAAGGGATCGTTATGGTTCGTGCTTCATAAAGTATGTCCTCCACAAAACCTTTAATGATGTTATGAACAAGCTTCAGTATATGCGATTAAAAAACAGCAATTCACATCAAAGGTGGTCAGCCATTACCTTGAGTTATAATTGATTAACACCTGCGATGGTTTACGTGCATTTCTGACAACCTATTGCAATAATGCTGTCATAAAACCCCTACACATTCAAAAAAACACATTCAAAAAAGCTAGATGGTATGCTCATGTCTGTCATTTCAAATGACACAACCACTTGACAGAAAATATCACAAACCATGACCAAATCACACTGCACGATGAAAAGCTTTGTTTCGATCTTTTTTCCCCCGAGCCACAGACGTTTTTGGGATATGGTTCAGCTGTAAACCTTAGTGTTGAGTGTCTGAATGCCTGCGGCAGACCTCTGTCCCTCAGTGCTCAGTTTCCTGCCATCACATGTACAGGAAACGCTGCTTCGATCAAAACAAAGTATTTCTGTCACTGTAGAGTGTGGAAAAACATTCGTCATATGAGAAGTTCTGAGACTGTTCTCGCTTCATTTTTGTGTCCGATCCTGCCAGATTTTTCTGGATTGGTTGATGTCAACAAATCAGTTAAAATCTTTCAAAACCAAACTGCATTGAAAAAAAATGAGTTCAGTTTGAAGACTATAAATAAATCAATACAAACAAATCTCTTGCAACCACAGGTCACCATACTGACGGGTATTAGATATGTTTCACTGTTTTTGTTTAAACCCTTAGATATGATAAAGCCTTAGATATTATAAATTATTGGGGGCGATGTCTGAGGAATGCACAGACCAGACTGAAACCTCTATGTAAAACCTGAGTCAAAATGATCCTTATTCAAAACAGAACTAATGTTTTGTGGAGAGTTTTTAAATGTACTTTTAAAATATAATTTAGTAGAAGTCACTGATTTGATTATAATGCATTAATGAAAGAGGTATTATTTGGCGGTAGGCATTTAAATTCTGTAAAATATAATGTAAATACATTTAGTTGAAATATTGTTTGTTTATTGTTTTGTTTTTACATGCTACTGATGGAGTTTCTTTTTCCATGCATTTGTAAAATACCATTTACAGTCGTGGTCTGCTTGTTAAAAAACTGCATCATAAAATGTAGACCTTATTCTGCAGCACGAGTCAGAAATAAGTCAGCTTGTTTCTCTGAAACCCCTTCCATTCATATCTTTCTGGTAGCTCATCTTTCAACAGACTAGGCAGACTGTGGAATGAAACTAGCACAAGGTCAAAGGTGACACAGGATGAGCACAGCTGACATATTGTCCCGCTGATTGCGAATGGGCACTGTGTAGAAATGCCCTGATGCTTTGGTCAGTTTGCATGCAAACCAAGCTTCTTGTTTGTGTTTTATGTCCAGAGCAACCCTCTGCAGCTGCCGCTGAAAAAGTGTGCGGTTGTGGGAAACGGTGGCATCCTCAGAAACAGCAAGTGTGGCCGGGACATCGACCAGGCCGACTTCATTATGCGGTGAGACACACAGAGATTCCTGGTTACTGGGAGTCTGTGCATCACTGGAACTCTAAATCTGAATGTACTGTACTGAGCCTAAGAGTGCAGCCAAGTCTTCAGTAAAGAGAGCTGGTGTTAGCTGTTGCCAAGAGACAATGACATAGATACAAAAATGGGCCAAAGAGAGGTCAAGAGAAAACAAAGCAAGTGAATCAGCAAAAAAACTATAGAAAGAGGATAAAGTGATGAGTGGTCTGGTGTGCAAAACAATGCAGTCAGTACTCGGGATCTAAAATCCTGTATTTTGTGGAGATTAGACTATCCTGTAACAATAAAAGCTCTGCAAAACCCTTGTCTCCTTGGAATTTCATAACACCCCTGTGCACACCCCCTGAATACAGGAAGAACTACAATAAAGTGGCAATAAAAGTATCTTACAAACAAGATTAAGAATTAAAGCAATGTCATAGATTCTGGAATTATTTTTCTGCTCTTGAGCTCCCCCTACAGCTGGGAGATGAAATTGCACTATAGAAAAAATATTTTTAGTCTTAAAGGGGCCATAAAATGGAAAATCCACTTTTTAAGCTTTTTACAATTTTAAATTGTCCTTTCCTCATGAGAAAACCCCCCAAACCATTTATTGTTGGCTGTGTTCATGCATTTTCTGCTCTCCGCAGCAATTTGGTCTATGTGATGAATGCATCACCAGGCATTTCCCCTCCCCCTGAACCTGGTCTGGTCTCGGTTCTGAAACCTGGATGTTCTGACACATTACTACTGCATTGGGGACAAAACACCACCGCATAAACCTTGCGTCCTGTCTACAAAGATGGACGTAATGGCCATCATCAAACATCTCTTTGATGACTATTGTTTTGTAACAGACTTGGTGGTCCAGAGGTTAGAGTGCCCAGTCTGGCACTCTGGAGGATCTACAGGTGGTCAATTTGTTTTTATATTATTCATTTATTCATCCACCCATTCATTTGATAAAAAACAGTGCACATTAATGACCATCTACTGAGGTTTCAATACACATGAATATCCCAGATTATAGCATAAATACTAATTTACATCCGCAGTCCCTAGACAGATCACACAAAAGTGTGAAAGACAATAAAAAAATTTAAAAAACCACCAGAGACATAAGCATTACATTTGGTACACAGGCAACAGGTCAAATGTTATGTCATGTTTCAGACTTTAAAGGGTTATGGGACGTATTTAACAAAAACGGACATGGTTGAAATACTGCAAAGCAGTCATTCTCACAAAGACCTAACAACAATAAAATGATCTTGTCTCTCAGGGAAGAATAATTCTTTTTCTGTTTTAAATTTTTGCAAATATGAAAATTCTTATTTTTCTGCTAGAAGCTTTCGATCGGGCTGAAACAGACTCACCAGTTAGGTTCTGGTTGGATTTCTGTAAAGCTCAAAAATCTACTTCCTAATATGATGTAAAAATTTCATAACACAGACACCATCTGTCGGCTATTTTTACCCCAAAAGACAAGAAGAAGAAAACCATTTGGAGGGAAGCTTGCCAGCCATTCTGCAACTTTTCCAAACAACTTGCACGTTCCTGTGGTGATGAAAGTAGAAAGATGTGGTTGACCACGACCGTTACCAGCTCTCAACTGTCTCAGTGGTAGCAAGAGAATAATTTTGCTCATTTATGATCAACATTTTCAACAAAACCTCACAAATTCCTAAAATATCCAGAATATGGCTGCTTTAAATTAAGTTAAAGATTGCTCTATCTCAATAGCAGTTTTTCATTAGCATCTTAGTTAGCCATGTTTTATTACCGTATCTGTTGTGTCAATAGTAAGGCCTTTTATTTCAGTCTCTACTTTTTTCTTTATTTTTATTTTGAATTGTCATTTCCTGTATTATTCCTACACGTGTGTTAATTATGGGGGGAAACAAGGTAAAAGAAAATATGACAAAACCAAGAAAACGTTTTTAGCATAAACATTATGTCCTGTTCATAAATTGAGATTTGAAATAAGAACAGTTGCTAAATCCTTAACTGAGTGCATACTTTTTGCATACAACAAAAAGCACAGATGCTTGTGTCACTGTCTTAAATTTCCCTGACGGCAATCAGACACACTTATCACATGTAGTCACACACACACACACCCCCGACCATCACAGATAAGCATGTTGTGTTGTCTTATTGTTAGCAGACACAGTGGCTCTGAACAAGATACTTCTTATATCTGTGAACGCACGCCAGACTGTTCATGTCTTTCTGTTCAGCTGACATTTATTCTAGTTTATGCTAGTGAAGCAATACACACCCCTTTTCCAGGATAAGAACGCATTTCACTCCTATTAAGATCTATAACTTTTTTATTTTTGCATGCAGTAATTTAACTTCCTCAAGACAAAATTTTTCCTGAAAAAGAAAGTTTGTAGACATTTAAACCAAAAAAAATAAAACATCCAATACACGCACTCGGGAGCAGTGTTCTTGTGTCAGAATAATAGCTCATCATTTGAGCCAGCGTTGTGATTGGCTGAGTCACCGCTGCTAAAGTGTCTAGAAAATTACATCAAACTGAATCAGTTAAGTCTCTGCTGATTAGTCAGAATGAGCTCATGGACTGTATGTGTCCCAGGGGCCACCAGGAGATGGTTTCTGGCCTGAAGATTAAATAGTTATTGGTTTGAATCTTCCTAAAGCACTAAACTGGCAACTGTGGGTATTTATAGCAGAGCTATACACTCACCGGCCACTTTATTGAGTACACCTTGCTAGTACCAGGTTGGCCCCACTTTTGCCTTCAGAACTGCCTTAATCCTTTGTGGCATTGATTCAACAAGATACCAAGATACTTTGGTCCATTGACGTGACAGCATCATTCAGTTGCTGCAGATTTGTCGGCTGTACTTTTTTATCGGCTTGTCTTTTTTATTGTTGGTTGTATTTCATAGTACTGTTTTATGTTTTCTATCTCTGTTATTGTGCGACTGTTCAGCACTTTGGTCAGCCGTATGGCTGTGTTTTTAAAGTGCTATATAAATAAAGGTGGTATGGTATGGTATGGTATGGTATGGTATGGTATGGTATGGTATGGTATGGTATGCACATCCATGATGCAAATCTCCTTTTCCACCACATCCCAAAGGTGCTCTATTGGATGTAGATCTGGTGTCTGTGAGGGCCATTGGAGTACAGTGAACTAATTGTTATGTTCAAAAAACCAGTCTGAGGTGATTCGAGCTTTATGATATGGAGCATTATCTGGTTGGAAGTAGTCATCAGAAGATGGTACTCTGTGATCATAAAGGGATGGACATGGTCAGCAACAATATTCAGGTTAGGCTGTGGTGTTGCAACGATGATCAATTAGTACTAAGGGGCCCAAAGTGTGCCAAGAAAATGCATACAAGGCAGGATGGATCCATGCTTTCATGGTGTTGAAGCCAAATTCTGACCCTGCCATCCGAATGTTGCAGCAGGAATCGAGACTCATCAGACCAGGCAACATTTTCCAATCTTCTATTGTCCAGTTTCGGTGAGCCTGTGTGAATTGTAGCCTCAGTTTCCTGTTCTTAGCTGGCAGGAGTGGCACCCGGTGTGGTCTTCTACTACTGTAGTCCATCTGCCTCAAGGTTCAACACGCTGTGCTTTCAGAGGTACTCTTCTGCATACCTTGGTTGTAACGAGTATTTATTTAAGTCACTGTTGCCTTTCTATCAGCTTGAAACAGTCTGGCCATTCTCCTCTGACCTCTTAGCCTAGTGAACTAGACCAAATTCTTGCTTTGCAAAGTCTGGCTTGCCAGGCTACTGACCTCTGTCATCAAAGCACTTTCTCCCACCGAACTGCCGCTCACTGGATGTCTTCCCTTTCGGACCATTCTCTGTACACCCTAGAGATGGTTGTGTGTGACAATCCCAGAAGATCAGCAGTTTCTGAAATACTCAACAACCATGCCACGTTCAAAGTTACTTAAATACCTTTCTTCCCCTTTCTGAAGCTCGGTTTGAACTGCAGCAGATCGACTCATCCATGTCAACATGCCCAAATGCATTGAGTTGCCACCATGTGATTGGCTGATTAGTAGTTTACGTTAACGAGCAGTTGTACAGGTGTACCCAATAAAGTGGCCAGTGAGTGTAGCTTTTAAGAACTTTAATTGAAATAAATTGTGCCAAAATGTAATTATGTGCTTTTTATTTATTTATAGATGTAATCTTCCTCCTCTTACAAAGAACTACGTGGACGATGTGGGAACAAGAACACATCTGGTTACTGCCAATCCCAGCATCATAGAAAAAAGGTAAAAAGATGAATTCACAACTGATGCTTTACACAGAATTACCATACTTTCTCTAAGATGTTTAAATGAAGGGGAATGTGTTTTCTAAGAACTCAAATTATAGAAAAGATCTATATAGGGGCCTGTGTCACGCTCATCTACTTCTGGACCATGGATCCCCAGAAGAACAAGAAAATGAATGCATTCTAATCCCGTTTGTTATGTGCCATGGATTTACCATATGATGTCTGTAAATTTTAAAGATGCATTTTGATGCCAAGAACGGGCTTATTTTTGAACAAGGGGTAAAAGTTATATCAGTTAAATACATCCAGGACTACAAATGCGCATCACCACATTTACATCATTGAACCAGACACGGAGAAAAGCTGAAGAAAAGTAAGTTCAGCAAACATAAAATCCTTCCTTCAGAAGGAAAGAACCACCAAACATCTGACCATGAGTAAGTAAATGTATAGCACTTATCACCAACATAGAATCACAAAGTGCTTCACATAGATCAAAACAAAGTAAAACATAATGATCTCGAAACAGAAATAGATTAACATAAAACAATTAAGTAAAGCAAATGAAAAATGAAAGGGTGCAACGGTCTGGAAGGAGCGATCACCTCGACTTTTATATCTGGTCTTTGGAACTTCTAGAAGGTTCTGGTGGGTGGACCTGAGGGCTCGGGTTGGAGCATAACGCTTCAACAGTTCAGTAATATGGGGAGAAGCTTGACCATGTAGACCAGGGATTCCCTAAGTGTGGTGCGCGGCGCGCACCCCTGGGGGTGCGAGAGCTGCTGCTAGGGGGTGCGTGAGGTGAAAAGTGTAATGGCTGCGGAGCTCAGGGAAAGTCTGTCATATGTCACCATTAGCATAGCCAGAAACTCATTTGTGAGTGGGCCTAAGAATAAGTAAGTGGGCCCAATAAATGTTATTGAAAACAAGTATATTTTGCTTGTGTGTGTGTGTGTGTGTGTGTGTGTGTGTTTCCTCTGCATGTGCCCTAGCTTCATAATAATGCGCTCCGAGCTTCAGCACTCTGACCTGTGCACGCTGTTAATAGTAAGGTACGTCCCATATTTGATCATTTTTAACGATGTTGGAGGAATCTGAAGGTGGTGAGTCATTCTGGCAGATTGTAATTAACACCGTGTCTCATGCAGGTGTTCTGACGTTGTAAACTTCACACACAGAACATTGTGGATGTAACTAAATAAATCAAGAAATGATTGCCATCTGAGCATTTTAGCATTATTATATTATTATATTAGCACACTGACTGTGGGACAGCATTCTAAACGTGTCAGGCTATTAACAGCGCACTGAAGATCTGAAGCTCAGAGTGCGTCTGTCAGAGGTCAGACGCGTTCCAGCGGAACCACGGCTCACGGGTGCACATGTGAGCACATCTGGGCTGGGCAGAAGTAATTTTACAACATTGGTTTAAATAGCACCAACAACGAGACACGGTGACTTGAGCGGCTCATGGAGCTGTGCCGCACACACACACACACTGATTCAACAAACGCACGCTGCGCAAACTCCGGCATTGCGCGGCGCTGCGCCGTCAGACTGAATGCAGAAATGAGCGCTGCCTCCTCCGTGATAAAAACTTTTAAGAGGTTTTATAACAACATTTTTCATTCAAGGTCAAATTAAGATATTAGCTTCTATTTGGGGATGACGTATGAAATTCGAGTCCGCTCCAGCCAGTGACTCCTCATGAACCTGACCACAACTCATGTTACTGCAGCATTTGTTATTCCAGTCCGCATGGCAGCGGATCGCAGATTCAGCCACACCATAAAACAGAAATAAGTTGGTCTGAGGCAAAAGTGAACCTCATGGCTATAGCTTTTCCATCTTTTCTCCTATAGACATTTGATTACGCACAAGTAGGTGATCAGCTCAGGTTTACGCAGAGCAGAAGGAAGGAGAGAGCTCTGGCCACAGGTTAAACGTTCCTGCTTTAAGAAAACCATTAAATTGCATTTTTCATGTGCTACCTGGGCACTCTAAATATTTATTTAAAATTAAATCAAAGGAAATCTTAATGGTATTGAATGTTTATTAATTACTATTTAAAAAATGAAAGTGATGGGGAAAATGGTCGATCATATTTTTTAACTCTGTCTGTCGAATGACTGTTTAGCTTGACGTATATATATATATATATATATATATATATATATATATATATATATATATATATATATATATATATATATGTGTGTGTGTGTGTGTGTGTGTGTGTGTGTGTGTGTGTGTGTGTGTGTGTGTGTGTGTGCCATGCCCTGATGTGGGGCTCGGGGGTGCGTCGACATGGTCGGGACATAGAAGGGGGTGCGCGGCTAAATAAGTTTGGGAACTGCTGATTTAGAGCATTGAAAGTTATAGTCAGGATTCTAAAATGAACTCCAGAGTTAATGGGTAACCAGTGCAGAGGCATTAGAATAGAAGTGATGGGTGCCCTTCTGTTTGCTCCAATTAGGAGCCTCGCTGCAGAGTTCTGAACCAAATGAAGGCGGTCAAGTGCTTTTTTGTTAAAATGAGGTAAGTAGCAGCTACGCTGAGGGAGAGGAGTTTCTGTGGTGACGTCACATACGCAACGTACCGACATCTGATGCTATTTATGAAATTTTTACAAGCTGATAAATCTCAGGTGTGGACAAAACACACATTATTACTTTTCATTTAAATTGAAGTACAACATGTGTGATTCAGGGCGTGAGAAAAAGCGGATTAGGAAGGAACTCTTTTAGACTTGCATTCATTTTTTCGTTCTTCCAGGGACCCATGAGTCGACTAGAAGGGGAGGAGACTTGGTCTCCCTATTTGTCAAAGAAGCTTCAAAAAGGAAATGAAATCAATCATCTTCAATGATTCTTGGCTTTTTGTCTTTAGGCATCAGAACCTTCTGTGGTCTAGAAAAGCTTTTGTGGACAGTATGAAGGTCTATGGCTCAAGCTACATCTACATGCCAGCGTTTTCCATGAAGCCCGGCACTGAGCCATCGCTGCGGGCATATTATGCACTCTCAGACACCTCCTCCAACCTCACCATGCTCTTTGCAAATCCTGAGTTCCTGCGCTCTGTGGGTAAATTCTGGAAAGCCCACGACATTCACGCCAAGCGCCTCTCCACTGGGCTGTTTCTGGTCAGCCTGGCCCTGGGGCTGTGTGATGAGGTCACAGCTTACGGCTTCTGGCCTTTCTCCGTCGGCCTGGACGAGCAACCCATCAGCCACCATTACTATGACAACATTTTGCCCTACAAGTGGTTCCATGCCATGCCCGAGGAGTTCATGCAACTTTGGCGCTTGCACAAAAGTGGCACACTGCGTATGAGGGTGGGTCGCTGTCCCCCTCAGAATGGAGAGAGTTAGAGCAGCCGGAGGGCTGAGCCGATAACGGTCTGTCGATGCTTATTACGTTGCAGCAGGCAGATGAAGAAAACTGGATTGTGAGGCAGACGGAAGATAAAGGAGGGAGCATATATTGCCTGAGGATTCCCTGTGCTGCATCTCTGTCAATACCATCCCTTGCTCTTCTCCTGATTATCTTAAGAATGTCCTCCACAGGACACACAGCGACATGTGCAGCAACACACACACACACACACAAAGTATGCATACATTCCCAAAACATGGCCATATGTCAACACTTGTTCATGAAAATTGTTTTTGTGTGCATGGATTTCAGTGTGTGTGTGTGTGTGTGTGTGCGTGCGTGCGTGCGTGCGTGTGCGTGCGTGCGTGCATGTGTGCGTGCGCGTGTGTGTGTGTGTGTGTGAGAGAGATAGGGAGGGGGTTGGTATCAAACTGACAAACATGGCTGCAGATGTAAACCCCCAGCTGGCTTTTTGGCAAAGGAGACTCAGGGAGCAAAGGGGGACAGTAAAACACACTGAAAGATGGCTGAACTGTGAAACAATGGAGGGCCTCCTGGTACCTACTGGCATGAACAGGAGAGAGGGCGATTTTCCTCTAGGTTCTTTTTCCTTTTTTATTTCCTTCAACAAAGCGCTTGAGTGGCTTTCTCTGTGGTGCCAAATACAGCTTTAGTTCAAAGCAGAAGCTACTGGAAATTGAATCATAAAAACTCCTTAGAATGTCGAGCCACTTTGCATTTGAACCCTTTAGCAAAAAGGGAACTTACTCTGGTGTGGTGTACATTGTTGCTTTTAATAGCCAAATGTGACATTTATTTTCAGGTTTTAATGTGAAATCTTGTTTTGTTGGTGTAAATACTCAGAAAGTTACATTTCCTGCCAAAAAAAGAAAAGGAAATAAGAAAATCACACCTATGTACCTCAGCATTTTATTTGTGATCCACTGGTTGGCTCTGTGGTACAAACAGACTCATTAAATAAGATCACAACCTAACCCACTTCTGTAGAGAGCCTGCTGGAAGTCATCTAAGTGACTATTCACTTCAAGTGCCAAGCCACGGGAACAGTGGACGCCTTGATCCGATCTTAAACAGCGCTTGTGCTTCACTGTTAAGAAGAAAGACTGTGACATACAGGACTCCATATCTCAAAGTGGCATTTCACTCAGTGCTGGTTGTATTTATTAGATTTAAAATACCTGACTGGACAAATTGTGCTTTTTTACATGCAGGTTAAAACTTCACCTCCAGTGCAGGAACAACTAAGTATTTGTACTGTAGGTTTCTTATAATTGTGTTGTTTTTTAACATTTTGTTTGCATGGGGGAAATTTAATTTGCTCATGTAAAAGCCAACGAAATACAGGTGTTTTCTTTGTATTTGCAGGTTTTGTAAATGTCAAAAATTTTATTATATTTCAAACTTGTTCTTAATTATCTTATTTTTTGGTGAGAAATGATACAGTGTCATACTGTGGATGGCTGACTGCACAGGGAATTCAGGAAGTGGATCCCGACCCCCAGACCGAAGGTACAAAATCTGCTAGAAGTTGAGTCCTTTGTGTTCTCTTCTACTCTGTTAAGCTGGATGAGGTCCAGTGCCTTTACTGAGGGAGAATTTTGGGCTCTTTTACCCATCAACCCAATTCATGTGATACAGTTGGTCTTGCTAATTCTGCTTGACTAATGTAAAGTAAGAAATAGCGTGTTGACAGCATCTACTAACTAGGCCAAGGATCATGAGCTCCCTGCAGCTTTGTACACAACAATGATTCGTTTAGTAAAGAGTTTGCTTCCTATGAGTGTTGTAGCATCTAATTGTCTTCTTTACATATTTGCAGCTTGGTTTTTAAGCAAAGTTATTTGTTCCAATTAAGGCTCACCCCAGTTTTGTGATCTTTATTGCTTTGCCAAGGAGCTAAGCTAAGGGACTGAAAGTATTCCTGAGTTCACTGCTAGCTTTTTGCTAACTTTAATCCATCATTTCTGGTACATTAGGAAATGTTTGTCTTTGTCTAAGAGATTTATTTTACATTTACTCAGCTGAACATGCAATAGGAGAAAGCAAGCAGTGTTTTAAATAAACACAATGCAAAGGTCAAACCCCCTTTGGAGGCTTCTATGTAAAAGTAATTCTAATGTTGTTGCTGAATGAAAACAATACCTTTAGAGCATGCTTGGGGTGGATGCTGGAGGCTGGGGTTGGTTTTGGATAGTTTGTTGTAGCAGGATTTAAATTATTTGACCTCTGCTGCAGAACAAACAGGCAAACTCTGATCCAGCTATGAAGTTTTCTTTTGCATCGTATTTATTTCATTTCCTTCATCAGTGCTTGTTTTAGGAAATGGTGGCCCTGTTCAGGTTGTTGGATCTGCTTTCAAAACTGCAAAGGGAAGTTGAACCAAAACTAATAAAACTGTAAAGGTTTTTGAAAATGACTGCATTCTGAGCTGGTGTATAACAAAAAATGTACTCCTGTTCAAATATTGCTTGTTTTTGGCCACGCGCATCCCAGAATGCAACGTGCACTGGGCTAAGACAGCCTTTGGCTTACAATGGCAGCGTTGTTTTGGTGGTTGTGTCAGATCAAAATAGTATTTTATGTTCTTTTCATACCAGATGTGTTTTTTTTTTTCACAACCGGGAAAGGCAGCTCATTAATGTAAGGAGTCATGCAAGAAAAGTGCTTAAAAAATCAAATTCAACTTGGAGTTTTTCTTATCTCATCTGAACATCAAATCTTCATGTTGCCTTGTCTTTTTCAGTCCCTTACACATTTCCACTTCACTTTTTTGTTGTCATTTCTCATTTATTCCTTAAAGGTGTAGTTCACAGAAAAAAAATATTTTTAATAATTGTTTCTGATTTCCGAACATAAAAATAATCTTCTAAACGTATCTCCTGTTTTAGCTTCTGATAGACAATAGATGGTGAAACTCTAGGATTTGACAAGTCTTACAGATGTAAGTCACACGGTCTCAACATTCATGGACTCACCCAGTTTGACTCATGACAGGGAAGGCTGTTGTTGGTTTAACCTCCAGTAAACAGCAGACAATGTCACTGCTAGTAGAAGCTAACCATTAGCATTAGCAACTCCACCATGCAGCAGAATTCCTTCAGGCTTGTGTTATTTGTGGAGATAAAACATCAATGTTGCAGAGCAAGCAAAGTCAGTGGTAGAGTCATGTTGCAGTCATCCAATCTGAAGCGAGATGTCCAACAATTAGGAGAAAAGACTCATCTGAATTTCAACCCTGGCCCAGCCCCAATTCTCGCACTTCAACCTTTGCGTCCCTCAAATGCTCGTTCCTGTCCAGTGTGTGTGCGAGTGCGTGGGATTCTTAAATGCTGTAGTTGTCCACACCCCTTTTGCACCCTTGAGCTGCACTTCGCCAAAGTCCACATCAATGTAGACATTAGCTAAACGTAAGCCATTGTTGTGTGGGAAATTTGAGAAGAAAGTGGAGCAGTGGCTTAAATGCCCTTTCTGAAAATATGGATTTTCAAGTACAATAATTGTCAAGTCAGGCTTGGACTTTTTCAGACTAGGAACCATGTTCAGCAGAAGGGGTTCCACGGGGACAATAAAGGTGGTACACCTCTGAGCTGTAATTTCACCAGAGAGCATAGTGTTCTGAGTCAGCCGTTCAGTGACTTCAGAACTAAATACATCCACCAAAATCAGAGAGGCAGCCGGTAAGATAAATATATAATATATTGCTGGTTGTGTACGGACTTTGCTGCTGGTTAGGCGGTTGGGCGGGAAACCTGTCTGATTGTTTGTTTGTTTGCTTACCTAGGCGTGGCCCAAACAATTGAGTCTCTGTTGATTTGGCTGGCATAATCTTTGTTTGTGGTTATTTGCCAGTTAGTAAAAGAATTACTTATCTGAAAATGTTTCAGCAAGTTGTTTGTTGCAGTTGCTTGTTCATTTTTGGGTTCTGTGATTAGTTTCAATGGAAGATGAATTATAAAAGATAATGATAAATAGCTTATATTTTTCTAAGGGAACTATTTGATGCTTAAAACTACTGTTTAAAAAGTAATGCTAAAGGTAATTATGTAAACCCTGTAAATCTAATTTAAGGTTATATGTCTGCTTGATTGAAGGTTTTTCACCTGAGCTGACATGCTGAAATAAACATAAAAGCAAAAAGTGAAGCATTGTTTCGGTCTCTGAGTGAAATCCAGTTTCTAAACTCTGTGGTGGATGTTTATCCCTCTCAAGTGGGGAAGCACAAAACAGTGCAGGACTTGACAATAATCAAAATATTGAGAATTTAATTATTGTGTGTGTGTATATGGTTACAATCAAATGTATTTTTGTTGAAGGATGCATTGCATGTCTGTTGATGAAAATTGCTAACTGATAACAGTGCTGGTGTGTATTTTGGACATGGCATGTCAGTCATTTAATCACAATATCATTCAATACAATTTAACAAACTGCTGAGTCAACAATAAAATGGTAAGATCAAAAATGAAAAAGAGAATTTTTTCCCCTTCCGGTCTGCTTGACACTCAGCTTTAAGAGGTTGGATTGGGGGGTTAAACCACCAAATAGTTCGAGTGCAGCACAGCTCACCGCCCCCCACGGGGATGGGTCAAATGCGGAGGACAATTTACACCACACCAGTGTGTGTGACAACTATGGGACTTTAATCTTTAATCTAGATTAAGGGTAAAAACTGCACAGTCTCTTTTAAATGTGGACAGCAATGAATGCACATTTTGTCAAATAATTATTTGTTTAAATTGTAGCACAAACAGCGCCCAACATCCTGACATGCATTGCAGCCGACTCTGCATTTCTCACTGTCCCAGTTCAGCAATTGCACACATACGCACTCGAAGGCTCACTGTACATTTCTTTTAAGTACACTTTGCAGAAGACTGAAGGGTGCAGTGTGAGTATTGTGACTGGGCCAATGATGTGGCTCATTTCTAGTTCCTGAAACTGGTGCACCGGAGCTTTGTTTCTTCAGACTCCTGCTACTGTAGGCACAGATGCACATGTTGTTAGCGAACTGGCATAGAAACATGCACACACACGCATGCTGTTTGAAGTTTCCCAACTTTTCATGGTCTGAACACATTTAATTAGCCTAATTCTTCCTGTCCATGCTCTGCAGATGGAATGATTTACGTGTTTCATGGCTGCAGCGGGAACGCGGGTCATTCAAAGCATTTTATTTAGGGTTACCAGAGGAGGAGCAGGTCCAGGTGTTTAGTAAAGCTTTGTATTTTTATTGATTGAGTCAGTCAGTCAGGTCTCCTGTCCTGTTGCATCTGTACAGAGCCCACTGCAAACATTCTGATTAAACAAGTGATCCACACCTTTAAGTTGTGACACAACACTGTTAGTCATGTTTTTATTTGCTTTCATGTGGCCATTTTAACATCTCCCTATAGACAGAATTTATTTAAAAAAAAAGGCATTAAAAAAGCAATAACAGTAATCATCAGTAAAATCAAGTAACCATGGAAACAAGTTAAAATGACTGTCCATGTTGTTAAAGGTGTGGTTGTACAGAGACGATTTCTGATGGGTGCTGAAGTGTTGTAGAGTGACCATCTCCTTCTAATTCATGTTTGACTGCAGGAAGATATCTCAGAACTTGGACGTTACAGCCAGAAGGTAAGCATGTAGGTTTCTAAACTCTGCACAGCTCTGTCTCGCGATAGGGATGTATTGCTGTAATCTATCAGCATAGCTATGGAAAGTAACCCCAAACAAACAATTCCAAATTCGCTTTTCTACTGCTTTCTCACCAGGATGGCCAAAAACAACATAAATCCAACTCACATATGAATATATTAACAAAGGTAAATAAAGCCTTCATTTAAAAATGTTTTTGTGAAGATCACAAAGGTTATCTTGACGCTGTTACATATTATTTTGTGAGACCTCATGTGTCCTTGTTAATATCTTTTCACACCCCATTAGTTTTGTTAAATTCATGAAGTGAATTTTCATGTTTAAAACTAGAAAATCAGCTTTATGAATTTCATGACAAACAACTGTTTTTATTTTGCACTTTTTATCTTTTATTGACCAGTATTGTGAATGAATGACATGTGACTGTTATAGTTGTGTGTGAGCATGAGGAGTTTTAAATGTGGATGTACCTTTGATGCACAGAAATTTTGTTAGTTTTTTATGTATTTTGACCCTGCTGTTAGTTTTCAAAGGAAGTAAAAAAAAAAAAAAAGCCAAAACTGAAATTTCTTGTGGGAAGTGAAATTGTGATGCAAATATTGATTTGTTGGTAAAATGACTGTCTCTTCTGTTTAAAATGCAACAAACCATCATATTCTTGTGAGATCTTTGCTTTTTAGGGAACGATACACTTTTATTTTCTCTAGCGATTTCAGATTATTAGAATGTCAAAGAAATGGTTTAAAAAGTGTTGATTTTGAGGATATAGTGGTAAAAAAATTGTGAAAATTTAAATTCCCCTCCAGTTTTCTCTAAGTAATGACAACGATGTCTTAGTTAAAGCTGCTATAGCACCTTTTGGAAAACAAATTAGCTTAAAGGGATATTCCACCCAAAAATGAAATTTTGTCTGTTGACTTATTTCCCAGAGTTAGATAAGTGAAAAAAAAATGTATATATATATATAATAACCAGCCCAGTCATTCTCCTGGCCCGGCTGTAGTCCTTTAGCTTTAGCTTGGCATAAAACACAGTAAGTGAATGGATCCAGCTGGCATTGTTAGTAACAAAACTCCATAAAATCACTCTGATCACAATACTGCTTCGTGACCTAAATAATCAGAGTTCAAGAGAAAATAATTAATATCATAAAGGAATCACAGACGCTATTTTAAAGTTGGGACTACTTCATGACAAACCTCTGTGAAATGGTCTGTATTTGTATAGCACCTTCATAGGGTTTTACATCCCCTCAAGGCACCATACAAAACAATCAGTCATTCACCCATTCACACGCTGCTGGTGATGAGCTACATTGTGGCCACAGCTGCCCTGGAGCGCACTGACAGAGACAAGGCCTGCCAAACACTGGACCCATTGGTCCCTCCGACCACCACCAACAGCGGAATTCTCGTGTGTGTGTGTGTGTGTGTGTGTGTGTGTGTGTGTGTGTGTGTGTGTGTGTGTGTGTGTGTGTGTGTGTGTGTGTGTGTGTGTGTGTGTGTGTGTGTGTGTGTGTGTGTGTGTGTGTGTGTGTGTGTGTGTGTGTGTGTGTGTGTGTGTGTGTGTGTGTGTGTGTGTGTGTGTGTGTTGCAATATTTATTTTAATTATGCACAGGATTTCTGTGTTGAGCTCAACCCGATCAGCCTTCTGCCGGAGAGGAGACCTGACCGACCGACTCAGTCAACAATAATACAAAGCTTTACTAAACACCTGGACCTGCTCCTCCTCTGGTAATCCTAAATAAAATGCTTTGAATGACCCGCGTTCCCCCTTCAGCCGTGAAACACGTAAATCATTCCATCTGCAGAGCATGGACGGGAAGAATTAGGCTAATTAAATGTGTTCAGACCATAAAAAGTTGGGAAACTTCAAACAGCATGCGTGTGTGTGTGCATGTTCCTATGCCAGTTCGCTAACAACATGTGCATCTGTGTCTACAGTAGCAGGAGTCTTTGGGGCCTTGCTCCTTTCAGCGGAGGCTTACAGCTGTGTTTTGTCATAAAGTAGTCCCAGGTATAAAATGGTGCGGGCGATTCCTTAATGTTACCAATTATTTTCACTTGCAGTCAGTCTAATTATTTAGATCTGTGACTGTGTTTGAGTTCAAAACCTGGCTTGTTCTGTAGATTAGCCAAAGCAGCTTTAGATAGAGTAAAATGTTGTGGAAAATGACAATGACTTATGAGATTTCAGGTCTCAGAGAGGATAAATCAAAGATGATATTACCATGCGAGACCTGATGGGGGTATAAAGGATAAGATTTTTGACAACACAAAGAAATACACTCAGTGCATTTACATGCACATCAGAAAACTGGAGTATTGGCCTAAATATATTGATGTAAACGCCTTAGTCTGGCTGAAGTTAAATAGGTTCTAATCAAGCTGAAGTACCCAGATAATGTGGTAGGAACCTGACTTCATCTGCATGTAAACGTCTCAGTCAGGCTGGTAGCCTGCTGATTACCTTCAGTGCCATGGAAACAGTCTTCTGATAATATCATCACCAAAATGCAACACGGGTAACACCTTTAAACGGTACAGTACGTAGCAAATAAGCTGTGTTGCAGCGTTGTTGTCCATTTCTTCAGCCACTGTGCACATCCAGTTTTTACTCCTGCCAGCATTTGTTTACTATTTGTGTTGCTGTAGGCTAACCGGGAGAAGGCCCGTGCAGCAGTAAGATACAAGCTTTGGGTAGTGACCGAAAGAACGAGATCATGGATACAAGCGGCTGGAATGAGTTTTCTCCACAGGGTGTCTGGGCTTTCCATTAGAGATAAAGTAAGATGCTCAGTCATCTGGGAGGGGCTCGGAGTAGATCCGCTGCTCCTCCACATCGAGAGGAGGCAGTTGATGTGGCTCGGGCATCTGGTTAGGATGCCTCCTGGACGCCCGGGCACATCCATCCAGAAGAAAATCTAAAGGAAGACCCAGGACACGGTGCAGGGACTATGTCTCTCAGCTAGCCAGGGAATGCCTCGGGATTCCTTGGAAGAGCTGGTCCAAGTGGCTTGGGAGAGGAACATTTGGGCCTCTCGCTTAGGCTACTGCCCCGCGACTCGAATCCGGATAAGTGGAAAAGAACGGATGGATGGATGGATGGATGGATAAAACACATAAAATACAGTTATAGCAAATAGGCAACCTTGAGCCGGTGAGCTTTGAATTTAGCCCTAAAATGGTAAAAGGTTGTGGTATTCCTGAGTTCAGCTGGAATTCAATAACATAATAAAACTGATTTTAAAAGTAATTCTTTGTAAGACGGTTTTATTCTGTGTGTTAGTGCAGATGTGCCGAAATCTGAGGAAAGTACATCTAATCCTCATGATTCTCAGAAATATTACCTTGTGCATGAGTTTTCGTGTGTGCGTGTGCGTGTGTGTGTGTGTGTGCAAGAATTCCCCCACCCGTATGATTTAGTGGTTATGAACATTTCTGCTTCCTGTGAGCTGCATGAATGAACCCTCTCTGCTGGCCACAGCCATGTCTACTTGGCTGTTTTTATGGGTCATGAATATTTAAAGTCTCAGTAAAAGCTGCTCAGCTGTGATGAGTGAGGCCTCCATTCCCTGCTGGACCTTTCGGCTTCACTTGTGCTGTGTTTATGCTCAGAGCACTAAATACCCTCCCTGGTCTGGAAAAACAGCTTTGAGATGGAGATTGTGGAACTTTAATTACCAAGACTGTAGGTTCCCAAATGTTTAAAGTGGCAGCTCATCCACAGTAGGTGCTAGGGCACCGCCCTCCCTGACGTGAAGAGAGAAAAAATCCTTAAAAGTAAAAAAAATACAGCACATAATCCATATAAATATATTTACTTTACATGTGTTAGTTTTACTTGATAGTGTGTGCCTACATGCAATCTGAACTATTTACACATCATGTTTGCCTGGTATATCTCATTAAACAGTGAATTCTCCCACTAGACCAACTAATATCACTCCTGGGGCACTGGAAGAACCGCCCCTGAGCTACAGCTAAACAGTTAATTGCATTTAATTGCTGGGAAGAAGTAGATAATTGTTTATCAAGCTAGAAGGTGCTTCTCTCTCTCTCTCTCTCTGTCTCTCTCTCTCTGTCTCTCTGTCTCTCTGTCTCTCTGTCTCTCTCTGTCTCTCTGTCTCTCTCTCGTTTTTAGGAGTTTTTAGGAGTTTTTATATCTGGTATGTAAAGAAAATCAAACTATGTTGACACATTTTCTTTAGCGTTACTGAATGTAGAGTACAGCTTTTTAAATTCTGTTTGCTTTTTGGTTTGATTTGCATCCTCCAACAAAATACTTGAGCTCTGCTGTACTTTTTTTGACCTTTTTAATAGTTAGCTAATTCTGAATTAGCTAATTCTGAATTATTAATGCAGCCGTATCAAAATGGAAATGTCTTTTCCTCTTGTCCAGTTGAAATCATCCTCGTTTAAAAAAAACTTTAGTTTTTATTCATTCGTCAGACTTCAAATGTGATGGAGTTTCTTATTATTTTTACTTGTGTTGCAGGGAAAGAAAAACAAATCTGTGGTGGCTGAGTGAGTCACATGCAGAAAGTCATGCCCTGCTGTGAGAGGCAGAGGCCAACAGTGAACATTATTTTGGATGGTCGAGTCACCCCCCTGAAGTTTGTAACAAATGAATAAACAGTAACGTGCTAAATCTAGTCTCATGCGCTTATCCCTGTCTGATGTAGCTCCTCGTTTTCAGCTCTGTTAGTCATATAATTAGCTATGAAGCCAATAGAGAGCTCTCAGATTACAGCAAAAAAAAAACTGATGAGGCATACTAGTTGGATGAATGCGTATCCAAGTAGATTAAAAATGAGCATTGTAAAAAAAACACAACTAGAATATTTCAGTTCAGCCAGCAGCTCACGTAGTGTGCGCACTGTGAATTTCTACCTCCAGTGAGGCGAAAAATATCAAACCGGTTTGATTTGATGGTCCTCTGAATCAGAAAAGCACTATACAAGTGCAGGTAATTTATTAGTCACTTACCCATTCGTATGAATAGACATGACATCACTTCTTTTTACACAGAACAAAGGCTACTGTCACCTTAATTACACAAGAGGATTAAAATAATCCTGCCTAATTTATTCTTCTATGCTGATGAGGGGTAGCTGTCTCATGCCCTGCATATGTATGGTGGCCTTATCTGTTCCATATTAATGCTAAAGGAAGAAGAGATGGGGGACCAAATTCCACAGAAAGGCCACTGGGACATGCAAAAGCAAAAATGTTTCCCCCTGGGTACCTGATGTCAGCTCTCATCACATCACAGCAGCACACCCCCATGGTAAATTAGGACAAAGGGGGCCACAATACAGAAACCAGTGTTTGGATCATGACTTTGCAACACCCTCCCCATCGTAAAGGAATAATGAGGGAGACTCATAGGAGGTGAATAGGTCAGAGATGCAGTTAGGCATAGAAAAAATGTTTTTTTTTTCCTACCAGTGTATTTTCAATCCAAAATCTTTGTTTTGTTAAGTGGCTGTGGCTGCTCTTCGTCTCCTTGATTCATGAACAAAAGAGGTACTTGCACAAAATGTTTTGATGTTCTAAAAACTGCCTGCAGTGGCTGACATCGTATTTGCAAAGAAGTGGCAGACAATTAACCAAATGGAACAGCTGATGCAAACTGGAACAGCACATGATGAG